TTTTTTTTCAAACATCCTTCGATGAGTTGAAAAGTAGCCGATGGCCCCCTCCCCCTCTTTTATTTTCATTTAGATTTAATTATTTCATCTGCGTTGGAATTTTAAGCTGTGCTGTTTACCATAGCGTTCATTTACTAATTCTGGTGTATTTTTCCTGTTTTAATTGCTTTTCAATTGGTTTTTTCCCCCTCTCAACTACTTCGATGAAGGAAAGAGTAGTCGGTGATTGTGGGGGGGGGGGGGGGGGGGGGGGGTGGGGGGGGGGGCAAACTGATTACTGAGAGAGCTTTAAGTCACAGTAACTGCTTTACCCACTCAAACGTAGCAGCAGCAGTAGTAGTAGTTGTGGTTGGGCGGTTTACACCGTTAGTGCTCTCATGTGAACAGACCGCCGTAAGGTTATGGCATTCTTCTGTCGGGGAGCGAATATATCATCCTAACCTGACCAGTCCGTGGCGACAGGACTAGCCATGCGGCGCCAAATCTTCTGCCTCACGACTCCCTGTCTACTCCGATGGTAAAACAGATAGCAGTGACATTATTTTAGCTACTGTGGTGGTGGTCGTGGTAGTAGTTGTACTGGTACTTGAAGGATGATACGGTAAATATTACATAAGCCCCATTCACTACCTATTACAATTTCTGCTCCCAATTTAGTCCGGATGGACAGGGATGTCAATGTCAGTTACAACAAAAAGAATATCGCCAGGTGATGAATTTTCAATCCTTCGAAGAGGGAGAGAGCAGTAGTCGGTGGAAGAGGGGAGGGAAGAGGGTAATGACTGAAATTTAAGAGGACTTGAAGAGCTTTACACATGATTTTTAAGTTCTCATCACTTACTTAATTTGTTTATATTTTACTAACGCTACCTTCACTATTCTAATTTTTGTTATTTACAAGTACAGTAGTAGCTTTACTTATGTCTCCTATAAAAATACAAACAGCTTTAGCATGTGATAACCAAATAACCACTTTTGTTACTGTGCTAATAGCATCATTTAAACGACCACTAATATAAGACACAATTATATGGTGCGTGTTCTAAAGTTGGAAAACCAGACTATCTCTATATAAATGTGCAGAACAGAATGATTGCGACATTAACTATATTAGACAGGTGCGATTTCCATTGTCTTTCTTTCCCAAAACCTTTGATGAGGGAGCACGTGCGGGTAGTAGGTGGATTTAGTAGTTGTGGGGGGGGGGGGGGGGGAGGTCAAAGACTATCTCTATATCTGAGCAGACAATGATTGTATAGACACATGTGCGATTTTCTATTTTCTTCATTTCCATTTAGCCAAACTATGCCACAGCAACGCATGGCCGGGTACGGCTAGTAAAGAATAAATATTGGGGGGGGGGGGGGGGGGGGGGGTAGGAAGCAATTTTCTTTCATTGTCAGTTAATTCTAATGGGATGCCCTTAATATTTGGGAACATAGGCTATACAATTACTGGCAAATTGGATGTTATATAAGGTTTATTTTTTGTGAAAATACTAATTATTTTCAGAAGTAATTTTCATTTTAACCAAAAATGGTGCTCTATTACGATGTTCTAAAAGTTTATTTGGAACCAGATTTATTTATATTTTATTTATACATTAATAAGTGGTTTTTGTTAATTTGTATTTTGTTTTGAATAAATTTCTTTCTATCTTTCTTCTTTTACCCCACCAGGACATCACAAAAGCGATAAACACCCGATGACACAAAGTGCTACCATGTGAATGAGGATCACCCGTGGAGAGGTCCCAGAAACTGTGTTTAGCCATTAGACCATATTTATGGCCGGGTTATATTGCGGCCTCTGGCAAGAGCCAGAGTAGGGCTTCAAATAACGAAAAATTGCATCTCACAAGGAGATGACTAAATTGTTGAATATATTTTATTGAGTTTACGTTAAGTACCATGATGGAAAGTGAAAAAACAAATTATTTCATTTTACTAATTTCTCTAAACTACCAACTGTTTATTTTACTAATATTTAACTACTGACACCATTTAGTTATTGAAACAGAATTCTAATAATTTTCTTCAACAATCGATGGTCACTTTGATGTATAATATGTGTATGTTGGATTGCAGTTAAATTAGTGTGGTCTGTTTCGATGTGTTACACTAGTGACATTTCAAAATTGCTTTCTATCCCTTGGGCTTCTGATGCTAAACACATTGGGACTTAAAGCGTTAATACAATCAATACTATACAAACTACAATGAAAGAAATACAAAGGAAGGTAATAAACACAGGGAGGAAGAAAGACAGGCAGGGAGGAAGAAAGACAGGCAGGGAGGAAGAAAGACAGGCAGGGAAGAAGAAAGACAGGCAGGGAAGAAAAAAGACAGGCAGGGAAGAAAAAAGACAGGGGAGGAGAAAGAAAGGACAGGCGAGGAAAAGCAAGAAAGAAACTGACAGGCATCCATCTTCCGTTCCAAGTCCATCCTGAAATCAGTCAGAACATCTTTAACTGTCATTTTTTATTTTATTTTCTAGAAATGTATCATTGTTCTTATTTTGTAACCTATTCAAAACTTTATGGTTTTTAGTGTGGTGAAGTCAAAATATTTCTGAATTAATTTGTCTTTTATTTTGTTTGTTTTTGTTAAGGCATCTGCAATGTTGTCCAGAAAATCTGCTTGAATGATGTTAGTCAAGAAACCAGATATTCTCCCAAAAACCGACATTGTTATGTTTCACAGTATTTACGGCATACTCCTAGTGAGAGCGTACAGGGTGTGGATCCTGATATTCGACTATTATTATAAGAAGGCACTTATGCAATTTTAGTGGGGGTTTTCTTTCACTCACAGCTGCCCTGATCCTGTGTTTGACTGACAGCTGCTCTGACCCTGTGTTTGACTGACAGCTGCCCTGATCCTGTGTTTGATTGACAGCTGCTCTGACCCTGTGTTTGACTGACAGCTGTTCTGACTCTGTGTTTGACTGACAGCTGTTCTGACCCTGTGTTTGACTGACAGCTGCCCTGACCCTGTGTTTGACTGACAGCTGCCCTGACCCTGTGTTTGACTGACAGCTGTTCTGACCCTGTGTTTGACTTACAGCTGCCCTGACCCTGTGTTTGACTGACAGCTGCCCTGACCCTGTGTTTGACTGACAGCTGCTCTGACCCTGTGTTTGACTGACAGCTGCCCTGACCCTGTGTTTGACTGACAGCTGCTCCTGATGCTGTGTTTGACTGACAGCTGCTCCTGATACTGTGTTTGACTGACAGCTGCTCTGACCCTGTGTTTGACTGACAGCTGTTCTGATACTGTGTTTGACTGACAGCTGCTCCTGATACTGTGTTTGACTGACAGCTGTTCTGATACTGTGTTTGACTGACAGCTGCTCCTGATACTGTGTTTGACTGACAGCTGCTCCTGACCCTGTGTTTGACTGACAGCTGTTCTGATCTCAGCAAGAAACTTATAACAAATCTGTGCACTTCAAAGCTTTTGGTCATTCCGATCTTCAATTTAAAAAAAAAATTCTAATCTGTCAATCCTATTTTCAGTCAGTCGTTCAGTAGCATGTCCAATGCAGAAACCTGCTCCCATGACAACCCTCTGGAAAACTTCTTGATCACAAGCAAGATGTCCTGCATCCAATACACCCATCTGGAGATCATCCGCCACATCCTGCGCCCATCTTCTCTTTGGCCTTCCTCTTCCTCTCTTCCCAGGCATATACCCTTCCATTACTGTTCTCTCTAAACGTTCGTGACGTTTCAATTGACCAAAATATTTAAATTTTCTGTGTTTTATTGTATTTTATAGCCAACCTTCTTTGATATTCAGCTCTTGAAGTATGGATGCATTTGTTCTTTTCTTAATGCAAGATATTTTTAGAACCGGTCCATAAGATTTGTATTCAAAGGCATTTATGCGCTGTTCAGCTTGTTTAGTAAGTGTCCAGGTCTCACAGGCGTATGTCGCAATGGGAAAGACACAGGTTCTTAGAAATCTAACTTTTGTAGTTCTGTTTGTAACACTCCATAGTTTATTAGGTTGCTTTAGTCTTCTAACAGCAATTGATAGTCATCGTTTAATTTCTTTCTTTTTGTCTCCACTGTCCAATTTTACTCAGTGAAAATCTTTGACTCCAGCTCTGTTGGCAAACTTTTGAAAAGTTAGCTGTGTGTACTTCACAGGAAGTTGCAGTTGCAGAACCAACCCAGCATTTTTTTTTTTTAACTGTTGAGGGTTTTCTAGGCTAATTTACATTTACAGTTTGGTGCTGTTTTCTAAACAGTCGGCCCTCCTCTCAATATCACTGTCAAAACTTCCACGTGTGGGTTCCGGGCCCCATTTTGGGAAAAACAAAAATAGACCCACAGCCTGCTCAACAAGTATCCCATAGGAGTTGACTATTTGGGAGCTTCTTTTGAAGTCAGAGTGCATCTGCCTGAGAGGCAAGGAACCAACAGTCTGCATACAATAAAGTCAGATCTGTGAAACTGATGTGCATGAAACACTCAGGTTCTTTAACAAGATAAGGGCCAGATGTGGACCAACAATCAGAACTTTGTGCCGGAGTTGACAGCCAATAAAGGCCAAGAAGAAGAAGACTATTAAAACCAATGCAAGGTGGATTGCTGCCACATCACCAGCCGCTGGGATTGAACATGGCATCCAGGCATTATGAAGTCCATTCACAATGCCTAAGCCACAAACCACAAGGAAAACTAAACGTAAATTAGCCAGCTTCTCAGTACTTTAACTGTGCTTGCTAATTCTGGATGTGGTTTCAACATTTTTGGAAGGTCTCTGGGAATAAAGCATAGTTGGTCCATACTGTCATGGAATAATTGTGTTTAACCGAATGTGTAATCATGGCTAAATCAGTTTAATTTCAGTGGAATTTTCATTTGGGGAACTGCCTAAAAATGATTGCAGAATATTACCTCTGCACCTGCCACAGGTATGTTTGATAAGGGCCAGCATCCAGCCTGTGAGCCACCAGTTTGACAGGCCTGACGTAGAGACAACAGTCTAAACAAACAATAGATTATTACCAAACTCTCCAGACCCCCAAGTGTAAACATGTCCTGATCTGGTCAGAACTACTACATGAGCATCTCCACATGCTATTTCTTGAACTGGAAGATCTAGGAAGAAATCAATTCGAACTGGAAACAGAACCTCATCTTCTTCAACTTCACAGCCCAAGCAGCCGTAGTAGTTGGAGCCGAAGGCATAAAGGGCACCACTATCTGAAAATACACAAATCTGTACTGCATCATCAATATCATCATCATCATTATCATCACCAATAACATCATCAAATATCTTACGGTGATGACAGAGCTTTCTTGTCAGCTTCAGTCAAATCTCAGTGTTGAACAAATGAATGTGTAATCATGGCTAAATCAGTTTAATTTCAGTAGAATTTTCACTTGTGGAATAGCTAAAAATTGTGATAAACTGTAAACTACTGTTGCCACAGTGGATTATCAGTGTAAAAATTCTCATCTCTCACAGTGGATTATCAGTGTAAAAATTCTCATCTCTCACAGTGGATTATCAGTGTAAAAATTCTCATCTCTCACAGTGGATTATCAGTGTAAAAATTCTCACCTCTCACAGTGGATTATCAGTGTAAAATCTGTCACCTCTTACAGTGAAATATCAGTGTAAAATCTATCACCTCTCACAGTGAATTATCAGTGTAAAATCTGTCACCTCTCACAGTGAATTATCAGTGTAAAAATTCTCACCTCTTACAGTGGATTATCAGTGTAAAAACTGCCACCTTTTACAGTGGATTATCAGTGTAAAATCTATCACCTCTCACAGTGGATTATCAGTGTAAAATCTATCACCTCTCACAGTGGATTATCAGTGTAAAATCTATCACCTCTCACAGTGAATTATCAGTATAAAATCTGTCACCTCTTACAGTGGATTATCAGTGTAAAAACTGCCACCTCTTACAGTGGATTATCAGTGTAAAAACTGCCACCTTTTACAGTGGATTATCAGTGTAAAAACTGCCACCTCTTACAGTGGATTATCAGTGTAAAAACTGCCACCTTTTACAGTGGATTATCACTGTAAAAACTGCCACCTTTTACAGTGGATTATCAGTGTAAAAACTGCCACCTTTTACAGTGGATTATCAGTGTAAAAACTGTCACCTCTCACAGTGGATTATCAGTGTAAAATCTATCACCTCTCACAGTAAATTATCAGTGTAAAATCTGTCACCTCTCACAGTGAATTATCAGTGTAAAAATTCTCACCTCTTACAGTGGATTATCAGTGTAAAAACTGCCACCTTTTACAGTGGATTATCAGTGTAAAATCTATCACCTCTCACAGTGGATTATCAGTGTAAAATCTATCACCTCTCACAGTGGATTATCAGTGTAAAATCTATCACCTCTCACAGTGAATTATCAGTATAAAATCTGTCACCTCTTACAGTGGATTATCAGTGTAAAAACTGCCACCTCTTACAGTGGATTATCAGTGTAAAAACTGCCACCTTTTACAGTGGATTATCAGTGTAAAAACTGCCACCTCTTACAGTGGATTATCAGTGTAAAAACTGCCACCTTTTACAGTGGATTATCACTGTAAAAACTGCCACCTTTTACAGTGGATTATCAGTGTAAAAACTGTCACCTTTTACAGTGGATTATCAGTGTAAAAACTGTCACCTCTCACAGTGGATTATCAGTGTAAAATCTATCACCTCTCACAGTGAATTATCAGTGTAAAATCTGTCACCTCTCACAGTGGATTATCAGTGTAAAAACTGTCACCTCTCACAGTGGATTATCAGTGTAAAATCTATCACCTCTCACAGTGAATTATCAGTGTAAAATCCATCACCTCTCACAGTGGATTATCAGTGTAAAATCTATCACCTCTCACAGTGAATTTTCAGTGTAAAATCTATCACCTCTCACAGAGGATTATCAGTGCTAGAAAATGCCAATGTGACCATTTAGCAATAACTGACAAGGGTAATGGGAATGGTACAAAAGGAAGTTAAACAGATAAACCTGGGCAGCTTAACCAAATGGGATACTAGGGGAGACAACTCAGAGTTGAGCTGTGACTGGGGATCAAATAAGATGGTGGACTGCAATTCCCCAACCTTGACTTGTTTGACCTGTACCTGCTGCTGCTGCTCCAGTGGGCAGTCAGCTACTTTACAATAAAGTGGATGAGGGGAAGGCTCCCTGAGATCATGTGAACAGTGCAACAGAACAGTCACAGCATCCATACTTTGAGAGACGTATCCGGCATGCAGTGAACAGAGGGTCTGGATGGTTTTCATCAAACAAGGGAAAAAAACCAGTGGAGAGATTATAAACTGGTCCCCATCAGTATGGCAAATCTTTGTTGGCTACTGAAAGAGGGAACAGATCACATATGTGAATGCTTCAAATGCAGCAACATCAACCCTCGATTCATTCATTCATTCATTCATTCATTTATTAATTCATAGCTAGTTACTTGACTATTAACACACCAGAAGACTTCCACAGCTTACCAGAAACACAGAGAGTAAAATCTTCCCCACAAGCTACTTGTTGAACTGCCACCCCCACGAAGGATTCCACAAGTTTGGGAGTCTTGCAGGATGTATTGTCCCCATGCCCCAGCTGGCCCACCATGGAGACACCACCTTGGAGGTTCTAGAAGTTGAAAGTGTTCAAGTACATGGAACAACCTTAAATATATCAGCTAGATATATAAGACATGGGCAGGTGTAGTAGAGTAGTGTCTAGCATGCTTATCTGGTGGTCACGTGTTCAAATCCCCATCAAGGCATACATGTTTCAACTGACTATGGTTCCAGCATGAAAATGGGGACCAGAAATCCCAGTGTGGGATCCAGAGCCCCATTTTATTGGATTAACAAAAAAGAATAGACCCACTTCCTCTAACAAGCTCGTAGTAAGAGTCCACTAATCAGGGATCAAAGTTGGAGTGCATCAGCCTGACAGGTGAGGAACCAACAGTCTGCATACAGCTAAGCCAGATCTGTAAAACAAATGTGCACACGAGAGTCAGGTTCTGGAACAAGACTAGAGTCGACAAGTGGATGAGAAACCAGAACTTTCTGTAATCATTTACACCAGTGAATACAAAAAAGAAGAAAAGTAACAGGAAATAATAAAGAGAAATAAAGGATAATCACCACAGCATCCCCCGACTGTTGAATATCTATACATATACTTAGCAACTACCTTATACCCAAAGAAGTGGAAGAATAGAAACAGGTTCTGTAATATTTACCAGCATGTGTCTATATGTACAGTCTTGAATTTTAATGAAATATTCATCTAAATATATTTCAAGCTTTTCTTGTAATCTTCATTTCTTATTATTTCTAATTTTTACTCTTTCGTAATTCCATTATTACTTTTATCAAAATATTTAAAATGTATATATACCTGTTGCTGGTCAACTTCCCACTCTCACTATATGTACCTGTTGTTGGTCAACTTCCCAGTCTCACTGTATGTACCTGTTGCTGGTCAACTTCCCAGTCTCACTGTATGTACCTGTTGCTGGTCAACTTCCCACTTTCACTATATGTACCTGTTGCTGGTCAACTTCCCACTCTCACTATATGTACCTGTTGCTGGTCAAATTCCCAGTCTCACTGTATGTACCTGTTGCTGGTCAACTTCCCACTCTCACTGTATGTACCTGTTGCTGGTCAACTTCCCAGTCTCACTGTATGTACCTGTTGCTGGTCAAATTCCCAGTCTCACTGTATGTACCTGTTGCTGGTCTCTTCCCACTCTCACTATATGTACCTGTTGCTGGTCTCTTCCCACTCTCACTGTATGTACCTGTTGCTGGTCAACTTTCCAGTCTCACTGTATGTACCTGTTGTTGGTCTCTTCCCACTCTCACTGTATGTACCTGTTGCTGGTCAACTTCCCAGTCTCACTGTATGTACCTGTTGTTGGTCAACTTCCCAGTCTCACTGTATGTACCTGTTGTTGGTCAACTTCCCAGTCTCACTGTATGTACCTGTTGTTGGTTAACTTCCCAGTCTCACTGTATGTACCTGTTGTTGGTCAACTTCCCACTCTCACTATATGTACCTGTTGTTGGTCAACTTCCCAGTCTCACTGTATGTACCTGTTGCTGGTCTCTTCCCACTCTCACTGTATGTACCTGTTGCTGGTCAAATTCCCAGTCTCACTGTATGTACCTGTTGCTGGTCAACTTCCCACTCTCACTGTATGTACCTGTTGCTGGTCAACTTCCCAGTCTCACTGTATGTACCTGTTGCTGGTCTCTTCCCACTCTCACTGTATGTACTTGTTGCTGGTCAACTTCCCAGTCTCACTGTATGTACCTGTTGCTGGTCAACTTCCCAGTCTCACTGTATGTACCTGTTGTTGGTCAACTTCCCAGTCTTACTGTATGTACCTGTTGCTGGTCAACTTCCCAGTCTCACTGTATGTACCTGTTGTTGGTCAACTTCCCAGTCTCACTGTATGTACCTGTTGCTGGTCAACTTCCCAGTCTCACTGTATGTACCTGTTGCTGGTCAACTTCCCAGTCTCACTGTATGTACCTGTTGCTGGTCAACTTCCCAGTCTCACTGTATGTACCTGTTGCTGGTCAACTTCCCAGTCTCACTGTATGTACCTGTTGCTGGTCAACTTCCCAGTCTCACTGTATGTACCTGTTGCTGGTCAACTTCCCAGTCTCACTGTATGTACCTGTTGTTGGTCAACTTCCCAGTCTCACTGTATGTACCTGTTGCTGGTCTCTTCCAAGTCTCACTGTATGTACCTGTTGCTGGTCTCTTTCCAGTCTCAGTGTATGTACCTGTTGTTGGTCAACTTCCCAGTCTCACTGTATGTACCTGTTGCTGGTCAACTTCCCAGTCTCACTGTATGTACCTGTTGCTGGTCAACTTCCCAGTCTTACTGTATGTACCTGTTGTTGGTCAACTTCCCAGTCTCACTGTATGTACCTGTTGCTGGTCAACTTCCCAGTCTCACTGTATGTACCTGTTGCTGGTCTCTTCCAAGTCTCACTGTATGTACCTGTTGCTGGTCTCTTTCCAGTCTCAGTGTATGTACCTGTTGTTGGTCAACTTCCCAGTCTCACTGTATGTACCTGTTGCTGGTCAACTTCCCAGTCTCACTGTATGTACCTGTTGCTGGTCAACTTCCCAGTCTTACTGTATGTACCTGTTGTTGGTCAACTTCCCACTATCACTATATGTACCTGTTGTTGGTCAACTTCCCAGTCTCACTGTATGTACCTGTTGCTGGTCAACTTCCCAGTCTCACTGTATGTACCTGTTGCTGGTCAACTTCCCAGTCTCAATGTATGTACCTGTTGTTGGTCAACTTCCCAGTCTCACTGTATGTACCTGTTGTTGGTCAACTTCCCAGTCTCACTGTATGTACCTGTTGTTGGTCAACTTCCCAGTCTCACTGTATGTACCTGTTGTTGGTCAACTTCCCAGTCTCACTGTATGTACCTGTTGTTGGTCAACTTCCCAGTCTCACTGTATGTACCTGTTGTTGGTCAACTTCCCAGTATCACTGTATGTACCTGTTGCTGGTCAACTTCCCAGTCTCACTGTATGTTTGTTTATCTACAATGTCATCTCAGTCACAATCACCTATATTCTGCAGAATGTGCAGAATTAGGCTCGACAAAAAGAGGCATCCCAGCCGAAGCTGTTAAAAATAAACATCATATCTCCCTTAAGTTTGGTTTCACTGCCAAAAACAATTTTTAGTTTACAGCTCATTAAGCCAAAAGCTTTCTAAAAATACAGTCAAACTTGAGCCTGAAAGTGTTGACAAAACAAGAATGATGAAGTGCAGAAAAGAATGACGATAATAATAATAATAATATTTTGTATGCTGAAATGTAGAAACAGTGACTTTTGTAACATATTTTTGTGAATTTGGAATCAACTTACCGCCCATGTGTAGAGCTCTTTTTCAAGAGAGATAACAGCAAAATGGCTGTGTCCTACAGCAACCTGTTCCAGAAATTCAAGATAACATATTGTAAAACTATTGTAACATATGCCTCAGTTTCTTAGTCACTGAGTTATTTTTTTTTTTTTCTTGATGAATGCGACATTACTTTCTGTTGTAACACAGACTCAGAAGTGTACTTGCTTCTCCTTTTCTGTCTTTTATCCCCACTGGAACACAGATCCTCTATATTTTAAGCCAAGCCTTTCTATCCACATTTAGTTCAAATCCCCCCCCCCCCCCCCCCCCCCCCTTCTCCCTTTTCCAATTTGAAATCCTCATCAAGGCAAATGAAATAAAATCGACCATAATTCCCTGGTCGACCTAGTTTAAAATGGGTACAAGGAAATTTCACCAGACGTAAAAATGCTGACAAGATGCCAAGGCTGCTGACAAGATGCCAAGGCTACTGACAAGATGCTATTGTAACATGGAACATTCCTCGTGGGTTAATTCGTTTACAAAATTAGCTATCACCATCAGCCTATTAGATCTCAAGACAGGGAAATAAGGCCTTCACTTGTAATACTACCACTGTTACAATACTAGTCCTGTATGCTTCTACTTTTTGTGTCTGTTCATTCTTTCATTCCTTACCTGTGTCTTCATTCTTTCATTCATTACCTATGAGTGTCTGTTCATTCTTTCATTCATTACTTGTGTCTGTTCATTCTTTCATTCATTACTTGTGTCTGTTCATTCTTTCATTCATTACCTGTGTCTGTTCATTCTTTCATTCATTACTTGTGTCTGTTCATTCTTTCATTCATTACATGTTGAGTGTCTGTTCATTCTTTCATTCATTACTTGTGTCTGTTCATTCTTTCATTCATTACCTGTGTTCATGTTTCATTACTGAGTTCATTCATTACCTGTGTCTGTTCATTCTTTCATTCATTACTTGTGTCTGTTCATTCTTTCATTCATTACCTGTGAGTGTCTGTTCATTCTTTCATTCATTACCTGTGAGTGTCTGTTCATTCTTTCATTCATTACCTGTGTCTGTTCATTCTTTCATTCATTACTTGTGTCTGTTCATTCTTTCATTCATTACCTGTGAGTGTCTGTTCATTCTTTCATTCATTACTTGTGAGTGTCTGTTCATACTTTCATTTACTTGTGTCTATTCATTCATTCACTTGTGTCTGTTCATTCTTTCATTCATTACCTGTGAGTGTCTGTTCATTCTTTCATTCATTCATTACATTACCTGTGAGTGTCTGTTCATTCTTTCATTCATTATTGTGAGTGTCTGTTCATTCTTTCATTCATTATTTGTGAGTGTCTGTTCATTCTTTCATTCATTACTTGTGAGTGTCTGTTCATTCTTTCATTCATTACTTGTGAGTGTCTGTTCATTCTTTCATTCATTACTTGTGAGTGTTCATGTCCTTCATTACTTTCATTCATTCACTTGTGAGTGTCTGTTCATTCTTTCCTTCATTACTTGTGAGTGTCTGTTCATTCTTTCATTCATTACTTGTGAGTGTCTGTTCATTCTTTCATTCATTACCTGTGTCTGTTCATTCTTTCATTCATTACTTGTGAGTGTCTGTTCATTCTTTCATTTATTACCTGTGTCTGTTCATTCTTTCATTCATTACTTGTGAGTGTCTGTTCATTCTTTCATTCATTACCTGTGTCTGTTCATTCTTTCATTCATACTACTTGTGAGTGTCTTTCCTTCATTCATTCTGTTCATTTCATTCATTACTTGTGAGTGTCTGTTCATTCTTTCATTCATTACTTGTGTGTCTGTTCATTCTTTCATTCATTACTTGTGAGTGTCTGTTCATTCTTTCATTCATTACCTGTGTCTGTGTCATTCTTTCATTCATTACTTGTGAGTGTCTGTTCATTCTTTCATTCATTATTGTGAGTGTCTGTTCATTCTTTCATTCATTACTTGTGTCTGTTCATTCTTTCCTTCATTACTTGTGAGTGTCTGTTCATTCTTTCATTCATTACTTGTGAGTGTCTGTTCATTCTTTCATTCATTACTTGTGAGTGTCTGTTCATTCTTTCATTCATTACTTGTGAGTGTCTGTTCATTCTTTCATTCATTACCTGTGTCTGTTCATTCTTTCATTCATTACTTGTGAGTGTCTGTTCATTCTTTCATTCATTACTTGTGAGTGTCTGTTCATTCTTTCATTCATTACTTGTGTCTGTTCATTCTTTCATTCATTACTTGTGAGTGTCTGTTCATTCTTTCCTTCATTACTTGTGAGTGTCTGTTCATTCTTTCATTCATTACTTGTGAGTGTCTGTTCATTCTTTCATTCATTACTTGTGAGTGTCTGTTCATTCTTTCATTCATTACTTGTGAGTGTCTGTTCATTCTTTCATTCATTATTTGTGAGTGTCTGTTCATTCTTTCATTCATTACTTGTGAGTGTCTGTTCATTCTTTCATTCATTACTTGTGAGTGTCTGTTCATTCTTTCATTCATTACCTGTGTCTGTTCATTCTTTCATTCATTACTTGTGAGTGTCTGTTCATTCTTTCATTCATTACTTGTGAGTGTCTGTTCATTCTTTCATTCATTACTTGTGTCTGTTCATTCTTTCATTCATTACTTGGGAGTGTCTGTTCATTCTTTCCTTCATTACTTGTGTCTGTTCATTCTTTCATTCATTACTTGTGAGTGTCTGTTCATTCTTTCATTCATTACTTGTGAATGTCTGTTCATTCTTTCATTCATTACTTGTGAGTGTCTGTTCATTCTTTCATTCATTACTTGTGAGTGTCTGTTCATTCTTTCATTCATTACTTGTGAGTGTCTGTTCATTCTTTCATTCATTACTTGTGAGTGTCTGTTCATTCTTTCATTCATTACTTGTGTCTGTTCATTCTTTCATTCATTACTTGTGAGTGTCTGTTCATTCTTTCCTTCATTACTTGTGAGTGTCTGTTCATTCTTTCATTCATTACTTGTGAGTGTCTGTTCATTCTTTCATTCATTACTTGTGAGTGTCAGTTCATTCTTTCATTCATTACTTGTGAGTGTCTGTTCATTCTTTCATTCATTACTTGTGAGTGTCTGTTCATTCTTTCCTTCATTACTTGTGAGTGTCTGTTCATTCTTTCATTCATTACCTGCATGGGACTCTTCTCTCGAGTAAACATCTCCAGTTTCTGGGGTGTCAGCTTACCCCCTCCCCACTGGTACATCTGTGGACACAGTCAGACCACACAGGTATAGCCAATTCTACTACTATAAACAACTATTACTAGTGCTTTTATTGCTGCAACTATTACTAGTGCTTTTATTGCTGCAACAATTACTAGTGCTTTTACTGCTGCAACTATTACTAGTGCTTTTATTGCTGCAACTATTACTAGTGCTTTTACTGCTGCTTTACTACTGTTTTACTGCAAACTATTACTAGTGCTTTTACTGCTGCAACTATTACTAGTGCTTTTATTGCTGCAACTATTACTAGTGCTTTTATTGCTGCAACTATTACTAGTGCTTTTATTGCTGCAACTATTACTAGTGCTTTTACTGCTGCAACTATTACTAGTGCTTTTATTGCTGCAACTATTACTAGTGCTTTTACTGTTGCAACTATTACTACTGCTTTTACTGCTGCAACTATTACTAGTGCTTTTATTGCTGCAACTATTACTAGTGCTTTTACTGCTGCAGCTATTACTAGTGCTTTTACTGCTGCAACTATTACTAGTGCTTTTACTGCTGCAACTATTACTGGTGCTTTTACTGCTGCAACTATTACTGGTGCTTTTACTGCTGCAACTATTCATTCATTCCTTGTCCTCTTGTGCCGTTATAAGTCACCAAGGGTCGGTAGTAGACTTTCCCATTCCATTCTATCCTGTGAGCCAATTCAATATCATGGATGAAATCCAGTCCAGCCCCTTTGGCCTCTCTCATCAATGTTCAGTTGAGAGTTTCTTTTGGGCATCTCACCTCCTCACTACCATTATTACTGCTACTATGATTGCTATAACTGCCATTTTGCATGCAGAAACTACAACTGCTAATGCAAATACTAATAGTTTTACACCCCCCCCCCCAAATGTTATCTATCCTTTACAGCAGTGGTTGACAACTTGTGGGTCGCAACCCTTTTGGGGATCGACGACCTTATCACAGGGGTTGCTTAAGACCATCTGGAAACAGATTCACTGAAGTTATGAAGTATCAATGAAAATAATTTTATGGTTGGGGGTCACCACAGAAAAACACTGCCTGTCAACGTCTAATTGTGCTGATCCCTTTACGACTTTCATATGGAAAAAATTAACAGCTGGATACCTCATGTGGGTTCTGGGGCCTCACTGTGGGAGAAACAAGAACAGACCTACCGCCTCCCACAACAAGCATGTCATGAGAGTGAATTAACTGGCGGCATCCTTCAAAGTCTGAGTGCTTATGCCTGAGAGGCAAGGAACCAAAGTCTGCATACACATGTCAGATCTGTAAAACAGATATGCAAGCAACACTCAGGTTCTGGAACAAGATTACAGTTCAGAGATGGATGAACAACCAGGACTTTCTGTCAGAGTTTACAGCCTGTCAACTAGAAAAAGAAAAAGAAGAACAGCTAGAAGTTATAAATATGTGTTTAATAAGGGAAAACTCAACAAAAGAAATGAGCTTCTAAAGCACGCATGGCTGGGGAAGAGAAAGTCGACAGGGAAGACATTCTGCAGACAAAAAATGGCAACTTGGTGTATGCATGCATTTTTTTCAATCAAGCTTTTGGAAAAGGGAGTTGAATGTGCACTTGATTCTAATGAACTCAAGTGAAAATGGTTTTAATGTAAAGCTAATTAGCTTTTAATGAGGACAGTTAAGATCCACATTCTTGACTTCTGCTGAGAGAGAATGAACATTTACAGGTTTGTCAGGAGTGTAGTAATATGCTTTGTTTACCATAAATCGTTATGTATTTGTTCCTGTAACTATTATTTGTGAAAGGTAAACTAATATGTGAATTAGAGTGTCTATTTGGTCACCTCACACATTTTAGAAGTAATCACAGACACAACACTGGAAGTTGAAGCAGCAGACGTTCTTGACCTCTTGGTCACAGAGTTCAGTTGCTGAACTTTCTGCTCCATGTTCACACTTGACTCAGCCAACAGAGGTGATGCCAGGATATCTTCAGCTGTGGGGCGCTCTTCTGGCTTCTGAAACATGAAACAGTGGGTGACCTTCAAGGGGTCAACATTTTAGTGGCAAAAATTTTCCTATAGCAAGTTCTGCCATTTGCCTACTAACTGACAGACTTCAATTTGTAACATTTCATATCATTAGGATGTGAAAGGACTAGTCTCATTGTTTACTGACTTAACTTTCCAGAAAAATACATGTCTACTATTCATTCTAGAAAATAAGGGTGGCCAAACAGGGAGGCTTTCTTGATGCCAGAACAACATAGTTGGACTGGCAAATACTTGTACTTTTTACCTGGTAAGACAGGAACGTTTACATTCAGTCTCATTTCAATTAAATGAAATGGAAGACATGTGAAAAATGTGTGGCCTAGTGGCAAAAGCCCAGAATCCAGAAACAAAGTTACTGACAAGAGATGTCAATGATGTATGCTGCTTTTTTGTTACAGTAATACAATGAAGACTTTAATGTTTATGAAATCTTCTGAGATCAACAGTCATAAGACTACACTGGACACATCCTGAGTTATAAGACAGAGAAGATTGCACTACACTGGACACATCCTGAGTTATCAGACAGAGAAGATGGCGCTACACTGGACACATCCTGAGTTATAAGACAGAGAAGATGGCGCTACACTGGACAAATCCTGAGACTAAACCAGCAGAGAATCACCAAACAGGCACTGAAATGGGAAATACAGGGTTTGAGGAGGCGAGGACATCCGAAAGAAACCCTCAGATGAACACTGATGAAAGAAGCCAAAGCTGCTAGACTAGATTCCATCCATGATATTGAACTGATTGCACATGATAGAAAGGAATGGAGGAATAGAAGCTGAGCCCTGTGTGACAAATAATGGTACAACAGGATAATGAATTGTTCATGTGTAGCATATGTAATGAAATCTTCTGCGGTCAGAGTTCACAATGAAATGCTTCAACTGTTTTCCCCATTCACAAGGATAATGGCAGTTGGATGTATTTAGAGGTACTGTGCAGTACTTGGATAATGCAAGAGCAGTTCATAAAGACAGTTGATTAATGACATCAGAGCATAAAAACTGTCTTTTTTTTTAAAAATCAAGCTATGAGACAAAAGGATCTGAAGAATACCGTCACAACCAGAAAGATAAAAGTTGGGATAGAATCATGGTTGGGTTAACCAAGTGGCATGCAAGATTATATATCATCAGTTAAACTTACCAGAAACTCATGCAGGAACATGGCCACCAAAGTAACAAATATGATGCTGAGGACAATTTACAAATGTGCCAGGAAAGAAAAACTCCAAAAACTGCAGACTAAACTAAGACATATTGCCAGTGTGGGTTCTGGGGATCTCAATTTGCAGGGGGGAAAAGAACGCGCCCACCACCGCCCCTCTCCCTCTAACAAGCTTGTTCTAACAGGAGATAAGTCAGAAGTGCACTGACATCAGATGTGTTAGAGCGAAAGGTGTAGATATCAAAGCCGAGCTTAAACACCAATAAAACGTTTTAACAGCCTTAAAAGGATGAATGCATAAGAAGTTAAAATATCCTGGTGGCCAGAAGAGAGCGGTGGCCAGGAGAGAGCGGTGGCTAGGAGAGAGCGGTGGTCAAGAGAGAGAAGTGGCCAAAAGAGAGCGGTGGCCAGGAGAGAGGGGTGGCCAGGAGAGAGCGGTGGCCAGGAGAGAGGGGTGGCCAGGAGAGAATAGTGGCCAGGAGAGAGAAGTGGCCAGAAGAGAGCGGTGGCCAGGAGAGAGCGGTGGCCATGAGAGAGGGGTGGCCAGGAGAGAAAAGTGGCCAGGAGAGAATGGTGGCCAGGAGAGAGGGGTGGCCAGGAGAGAGGGGTGGCCAGGAGAGAGGGGTGGCCAGGAGAGAGGGGTGGCCAGGAGAGAGGGGTGGCCAGGAGAGAGCAGTGGCCAGGAGAGAGGGGTGGCCAGGAGAGAGGGGTGGCCAGGAGAGAGCGGTGGCCAGGAGAGAGCGGTGGCCAGGAGAGAGCGGTGGCCAGGAGAGAATGGTGGCCAGGAGAGTATGGTGGCCAGGAGATTATGGTGGCCAGGAGAGAATGGTGGCCAGGAGAGAGCGGTGGCCAGGAGAGAGCGGTGGCCAGGAAAGAGGTGTGGTCAGGAGATAATGGTGGCCAGGAGAGTATGGTGGCCAGGAGAGTATGGTGGCCAGGAGGGAGCGGTGGCCAGGAGAGAGCGGTGGCCAGGAGAGAGCAGTGGTCAGGAGAGAGCGGTGGCCAGGAAAGAGGTGTGGTCAGGAGAGAATGGTGGCCAGGAGAGTATGGTGGCCAGGAGAGTATGGTGGCCAGGAGAGAGCGGTGGCCAGGAGAGAGCGGTGGCCAGGAGAGAGCGGTGGCCAGGAGAGAGCGGTGGCCAGGAGAGAATGGTGGCCAGGAGAGAGGGGTGGCCAGGAGAGAGGGGTGGCCAGGAGAGAGGGGTGATGGAGAGTACAGCTGTGAAAAACAAGGCAGAGGCAGACCTCCATAAAAGCGGATACAAGACATTAAAGATGCATTGGCTATGAAAGCACATAGGGCTGGAGAGATGGCCAGAGAAAGAGAGACTTTCAGGTGAGCTACGTTCTGTAAAGAACATGCTCACTGACGATGATGACACAGAAGGAGAAGAAGAAAAATGTCTAAGACATCAGTGTAAAAGGCCAGTGTACATTCTCTATACTCATACAGCTGCCAACTTGCCTGCTCACCTTTCTAAGCATCTGATCAACAAGGGAGTGCACTCCACAACTGTAACCCACGGCAACATCAGAGTGATCTGTCTTTACAATCTGCATGGCCAGCTTAAGCGGGTTCTAGAAGATTCACAGGAAGACAGAACAAACTCAGGTCTGTAAACACAGGAAGACAGAACAAACACAGGTCTGTAAACACATGAAAACAGAACAAACACAGGTCTGTAAACACGTGAAAACAGAACAAACACAGGTCTGTAAACACAGGAAAACAGAACAAACACAGGTCTGTAAACACAGCCTCCCTTAGACATTACAGCCACAGATGCAACCTCTTCTATAAGATTCAAGAGAATAATTTTTTTAAACAATTATATTAACACTTTTCCTTAACTGATACAAGTTTCTGTCACTGAAGACTTCCAACCATGCATTTCTTTCAAGAACATTCAGAGGCAGATGAAATAAAAACTGGCTGTAAGCAAACTTTTTATTAAATTGATGAAACTGTAGATTTCCACAGACTTAAACTGTGTTTGAAGATGCATTTAAAGAAAGAACTGACTGTAAGCACAGTCAGACAAGCACAATTTCCTTATACCTATTTATCTGTGCTTATCTAGAAACAAAAGTAATCAATGTTGAAACCAAACATTCCTCACCACCTCATCTATGTGCTGAAGAGCCAGAAAAATACATTTTAAAAGTTAAATAACTATTTGGGTGTCACATGGGCGTGTTTTCTGTCCAGGTATGTTTTCAGAAGTTTGGACAAATCTACCGTTTTTTGTTTATTTTATTAAAAATTGTATTTCTCTTGATGCATCTTATCTTGTATTTGCTGGACCAAAGGCATAAAATTAGAGATCACAGAGTTTTAAAAATTTACCAGTTTAAATATACAGTCAACAGCTTAAAGTCCAGAATTGATAGATACAGTCAACAATTTATAGGAACAGTCAATAGAGCTAAAGCAAAACAATCAATAGAGTGAAAACAAACAATCAAGTATTTAAACAAACAGTTAAGTGCTGAAACTAACAATCAATATTTGAAACAATCAATAGACTGAAAACAATCAAGTAATAAAACAAACAATCAAGTATTTAAACAAACAGTTAAGTGCTGAAACTAACAATCAATATTTGAAACAATCAATAGACTGAAAACAATCAAGTAATAAAACAAACAATCAAGTATTTAACTGTCAACAGAGTTAAAACAAACTGTCAACAGAGTTAAAACAAACTGTCAACAGAATTAAAACAAACTGTCAACAGAATTGAAACAAACTGTCAACAGAGTTAAAACAAACTGTCAACAGAGTTAAAACAAACTGTCAACAGAGTTAAAACAAACTGTCAACAGAGTTAAAACAAACTGTCAACAGAGTTAAAACAAACTGTCAACAGAGTTAAAACAAACTGTCAACAGAGTTAATACAAACTGTCAACAGAATTGACACAAACTGTCAACAGAATTGAAACAAACTGTCAACAGAATTGAAACAAACTGTCAACAGAGTTAAAACAAACTGTCAACAGAGTTAAAACAAACTGTCAACAGAGTTAAAACAAACTGTCAACAGAGTTAAAACAAACTGTCAACAGAGTTAAAACAAACTGTCAACAGAGTTAAAACAAACTGTCAACAGAGCTAAAACAAACTGTCAACAGAATTGAAACAAACTGTCAACAGAATTGAAACAAACTGTCAACAGAATTGAAACAAACTGTTAACAGAGTTAAAACAAACTGTCAACAGAGTTAAAACAAACTGTCAACAGAGTTAAAATAAACTGTCAACAGAGTTAAAACAAACTGTCAACAGAGTTAAAACAAACTGTCAACAGAATTGAAACAAACTGTCAACAGAATTGAAACAAACTGTCAACAGAATTGAAACAAACTGTCAACAGAGTTAAAACAAACTGTCAACACAGTTAAAACAAACTTTCAACAGAGTTAAAACAAACTGTCAACAGAGTTAAAACAAACTGTCAAAAGAATTGAAACAAGCTGTCAACAGAATTGAAACAAACTGTCAACAGAGTTAATACAAACTGTCAACAGAGTTAAAACAAACTGTCAACAGAATTAAAACAAACTGTCAACAGAATTAAAACAAACTGTCAACAGAATTAAAACAAACTGTCAACAGAATTAAAACAAACTGTCAACAGAGTTAAAACAAACTGTCAACAGAGTTAAAACAAACTGTCAACAGAGTTAAAACAAACAAACAAGTATTGAAACAAATAGTCACCAGTTGAAACAAATAACAAAGACTTAAAACTAACAAACAATATTTAGCTGAAACAAACAAGCAAGAAGTGAACAAACTGTCAACAGAGTTAAAACAAACTGTCAACAGAGTTAAAACAAACTGTCAACACTCACAGTTGCTTGGAATGTTTTCTCCAAAGTGAGCATTTCATAAAGCACACAGCCCAGAGCCCAAATATCACTCTTGTAATTGTACCTGACAAAAACACCCTCATCAGTCAGTGACAGTGTATGTGTGTGTATATGTGTGTTAGTGTATGTGTGTGTTAGTGTGTGTGTGTTAGTGTATGTGTGTGTTAGTGTATGTGTGTGTTAGTGTATGTGTGTGTTAGTGTATGTGTGTGTTAGTGTATGTGTGTGTTAGTGTGTGTGTGTTAGTGTATGTGTGTGTTAGTGCATGTGTGTTAGTGTATATGTGTGTTCGTGTGTGTGTGTCATGTATGTGTTATTGTATGTGTGTATGTGTGTGTGTGTATGTGTGTGTAAATGACAGTGTATGTGTGTGTCAATTACAGTGTATGTGTATGGAAGGAGATATATGATATGCAGAGTTAAGATAGTTTCATAGCAGGTGCTGTTACAAGTCTGCTCGCTGATTTTATCCTGACACCACAGTGGTCAATGAGTCACATTTCAGATGGCAAGCCAACAAGAACATATTCTGAATCTGATGTTCAACCTTATTATAAATTATATTGGGGACCTGACAGCAAATAGTGAGTATATCGAATTATTTTCTAACACTACAACAATAACAGATCGATTGAATTTCAAAATGTCTGTATTTTTCTGGTGAAGTTAAATCATCAACAGTTGTTTGCAATTCTATGCCACAGATATTATACACCCCAAAGACAATGTCACTTCCTATACACCCCAGTGACAATGCCACTTCCTATACACCCCAAAGACAATGTCACTTCCTATACACCCCAATGAAAATGTCACTTCCTATACACCCCAATGACAATGTCACTTCCTATAAACCCCAAAGACAATGTCACTTCCTATACACCTCAAAGACAATGTCACTTCCTATACACCCCAATGACAGTGTCACTTCCTATACACCCCAAAGACAATGTCACTTCCTATACACCCCAGTGACAGTGTCACTTCCTATACACCCCAAAGACAATGTCACTTCCTATACACCCCAAAGACAATGTCACTTCTTATACACCCCAGTGACAATGTCACTTCCTATACACCCCATTGACAATGTCACTTCCTATACACCCCAAAGACAATGTCACTTCCTATACACCTCAAAGACAATGTCACTTCCTATTCACTCCAGTGACAATGTCACTTCTTGTACACCCCAAAGACAATGTCACTTCCTATACACCCCAAAGACAATGTCACTTCCTATACACCCCAGTGACAATGTCACTTCCTATACACCCCAAAGACAATATCACTTCCTATACACCCCAAAGACAATGTCACTTCCAAAACACCCCAAAGACAATGTCACTTCCTATACACCTCAAAGACAATGTCACTTCCTATACACCCCAAAGACAATGTCACTTCCTATTAACCCCAAAGACAATGTCACTTCCTATACACCCCAGTGACAATGTCACTTCCTATACACCCCAGTGACAATGTCACTTCCTACACACCCCAAAGACAATGTCACTTCCTATACACCCCAATGACAATGTCACCTTCTATACACCCCAATAACAATGTCACCTTCTATACACCCCAATAACAATGTCACTTCCTATACACCCCAAAGACAATGTCACTTTCTATACACCCCAAAGACAATGTCACTTCCTATACACCCCAAAGACAACGTCACTTCCTATACACCCCAAAGACAATGTCACTTCCTATACACCCCAAAGACAATGTCACTTCCTATACACCCCAAAGACAATGTCACTTCCTATACACCCCAAAGACAATGTCACTTCCTATACACCCCAAAGACAACGTCACTTCCTATACACCCCAAAGACAATGTCACTTCCTGCTGACCCCCTTCTGGAGCAGGGGGGAACTAATTTTAGTTTAGCTCTATTTACATGTGCTAGGATATTTAACAAATCTTCAAACAGAGCCCTGAAATTAAATCTGTGAGTCTTCTTTGTAGTTGTATCAGTGTCTTTTTTTGTTGTTGTTAGCTGATGAAGGTTTTCTGGCTGCAATGATTATTCTATCACTCATTATTATATTATTATGAAGCTGACAAGTTACACTTACCATTTTGGTCAATTTAGTCATTGCACGTTTCATACCAAGGATAGGCAGGGAAAAAAAAACTAAGCAGTACTACATAAAACAGATTAAATTGGTTAAATGAATAATAAATTAAAAATAGACAGTCCAGAGTTTTGCAAAACAAATTATGAGAAAGACTAATCTAATGATATCTGATATATTTGATGTTGGCCTATTCAGTCACATGACACAAATAATATAGAGAATTATTTTTGAAAAGTAACCATTTCTTTCCTCATGTACTTTTCTAAAATACGGTTTTATTTGACTGTTTTATGGTAACTGGTTCAGCAAACATTGTACTCTACATTTGACATGGAAGAGTCACTGAGCTTTGAAAAGCCAATTAAAGAGTTCACTTACTTTTCACCTTTCATGATCTCTGGTGACATGTAGTAAGGTGTCCCTACAAGCTTCACATTGAGATTAAGAAGAAAAACAAGGCCAGATTTACATATCTTCAGAAGACACACAAAATATGTCAGGGACATGTAACTTTGGGTTAAACAACCTTAGTGCACTCTAGACATTCCCACACATGCTCCTTCTCTTCTCAGCAGTCAATGAAATGTTCCTAAGCTGATGGCACTGGTGGCAACTTTATCAGAAATCTGACCATCTTATCAGCCAAGCATTTAGTTCTGTGCAAGACTCTCTGCTCACACCTTGTGGAGGATGTATCTCCATGTGTGGGTCTTATGCTGCTGTGGTTTTTACTCGGTTCCAAAGAGTCTTCACATACAAGTACAAATATTATCAACCAGTAATTCTTAAATGGCTTTCCCGGCCCATACCAGTGCAATCATTAAAAAAAAAAATGACTTCAGTTTTGACAAGTTTTATAAATATATTATTTCTGTTGCTGCCACAATCATTAATCAGTTTGCACACAAAATGTAGAATAAGTGGTTCTCACGGAGAGTCTTCACTTCACACATTTCTCACACATATTCAGAAATTGGCAGGTGACTAGTTGCTATAAAACTCGGTGTATGAAATGCAGAACTGTGTTGGCACTTGTTGGTTTGCTGTGACTGCTGCTTTTATCAGTGTAAAACTACAATTCTAGTGACAGACTGTTGCTTTTGGCACCTCTTGTGGCTGCCCAAAGTGTTAATACATGTGCAATCTGTATGATTTTGCCAGGAGTACTGTCTGCTTAACTTATCACAGTGACAGGCATTTTGTATGGTGTTCAGTAGTTTGGGATTGGGGCGATTAAGGGACAACCCCTTTGTTGTGAAGTTGGAACCATGACTGATGTCAGCTACCTCTGCTATGATCTTGTGTGTTGTCCATCTTCAATCCTAACAGATGCAGCTGAAAGATTTCCTTCATTCAGCTGAAAATGTCATGACACTTTTCAAATTTTGCAGAACTGAATCTTTCGCTGATATTGGCGCATAAAATTGTCAGCACTTGATATGTTTTAACTTTTTGAGTCCCAAGGAACGCATCATACATTCATAGATTCCTACTTAGAAGCCCAATGAACCCATGATGCACCGATTTTACATCTTTCCTGACTACCCCTTGGGCCTGTGATGTTAAACCTGCTGGGACTCAAAGAGTTAAATCATAACTTTATGAGATAAAGTGACAAGGGTCATTTCAATGCTGTCTCAACTGCAATGAATTTATAGCAGATGGTAAATACACAGTTTATAAACATAAGATGTAAATTTCATTTCCATGTACAAGAATACACAAAATTAACATTAAATATTTCAAAAATATCATACATATATTTTAAAAATATAATACATATCATAAAAATACAACAAAAACATAAAAAAGATACACATAAACAAATTTGAAAAATAAAATACAAATAAAAGATGTTTCTCATGAAACAATAATTTACCGTTTCAGCCATTTGACTTTCAGATTCTAAAAATCTGGAGATTCCAAAATCACCAAGTTTGACGAGACCAGCTTTAGTCAGGAAGATGTTCAATGTCTTGATATCTCTGAAAAGTTCATAAATAAACTGTGCTGATGTATTTCACAAGGTTTTTGTCAGGACTTCCAGGGAAAATATGACATCTAATTCTTTCATTGTAAACTGACAAATAAATGTACACTGGTTAGCAAACAGTTTCAAAACAGATGTATAAATTAAACAATATGGTAGACACATACATTTGATAGAAAGTCTAAATACTGTAGACATACTTGCATATAGGGAATTATTAAAAAAACATTCAATGTTTTTCATGTGAAATAATTACCAATATAGTTCAAACTGACACAACAAAAAATCTCAGCGATACAACACATATCCCTACAAAGGAAATGATGAACATAATGTATAAATATTATGTATAACAAGAGATAGATCTCATTATAAACTCGCTATATAGGCTACACAGAGGATAAATTAATTGGGGATTGTTCCTTCAGGTTGAATTATATTGATGTGGTAAACGTGTGGCTACTAATGGTGGTGTTGGTAGTTTTGGTGTGGTAAACGTGAGGCTACTAATGGTGGTGTTGGTAGTTTTGATGTGGTAAACGTGTGGCTACTAATGGTGGTGTTGGTAGTTTTGATGTGGTAAACGTGAGGCTACTAATGGTGGTGTTGGTAGTTTTGATGTGGTAAACGTGTGGCTACTAATGGTGGTGTTGGTAGTTTTGATGTGGTAAACACGTGGCTACTAATGGTGGTGTTGGTAGTTTTGATGTGGTAAACACGTGGCTACTAATGGTGGTGTTGGTAGTTTTGATGTGGTAAACACGTGGCTACTAATGGTGGTGTTGGTAGTTTTGATGTGGTAAACACGTGGCTACTAATGGTGGTGTTGGTAGTTTTGATGTGGTAAACGTGAGTCTACTAATCGTGGTGTTGGTAGTTTTGATGTGGTAAACGTGAGTCTACTAATCGTGGTGTTGGTAGTTTTGATGTGGTAAACGTGTGGCTACTAATGGTGGTGTTGGTAGTTTTGATGTGGTAAACGTGTGGCTACTAATGGTGGTGTTGGTAGTTTTGATGAGCTTGACTTCTGTAGTGGTGTTTGATGAGCTTGACTTCTGTAGTGGTGTTTGATGAGCTTGACTTCTGTAGTGGTGTTTGATGAGCTTGACTTCTGTAGTGGTGTTTGATGAGCTTGACTTCTGTAGTGGTGTTTGATGAGCTTGACTTCTGTAGTGATGTTTGATGAGCTTGACTTCTGTAGTGGTGTTTGATGAGCTTGACTTCTGTAGTGGTGTTTGATGAGCTTGACTTCTGTAGTGGTGTTTGATGAGCTTGACTTCTGTAGTGGTGTTTGATGATCATAGTGATACTGGTTATATTAAACAGAGTTGAGATAAGAAATGACATCATAGTTCCTCTAGGACATTCTCTTCAGTGCTCTGTCCCCACAAGTACTCTGTCCCCATAAGTGCTCTGTCCCCACAAGGATTAGTTTCATTTTCATGCCAGGACATATGGGGGTATAAGGAAATAAGCAAGCTGTTAGACTTGAAAGTGAGGCTACTGTGAAAGCAAGATAAGCCTTGGACCAGGCTGATATACTGTATGCTCTATGAGAGTTGAGACATTTGTGTGAACCAACTGAGAACTGTGAATCTGCAAACATAGTCAGACTGCAAGAACAGCAAGTAAAACAGGGTGTCGCCAAACAAGAACACTGTGCGGGTAGCCAAAGAAGAATAATAAACCAATGCAGGGCTGGTGTCATAAGCCGCTACCCGCTGCGGAATTCACTGAGGAGGGGATCAGAGCACTAATGGACTGAGTAGTTCAAACGTGAAAAAAGAATAATCTGTCGACTAACTAATTAGTGATCATGGTGGTGGTGATGGTGATGATGAGGATAACGATGGTTGTAATGATGGTGATATTATTGGCAACCCACCTGTGTATAATTCCAAAATCATGTATGTAAGCCAGGGCAGAGGTCAGCTGGTGCAGGTACCACAGGACATCCTGTAATGGCAAAGATGAGAAGACACAGCTGAGACACAGACAACGCTTACAGAAATGCTGTTGCTCTGTCAGAGAATACAGGTACTGTGGCTGGAGATCTTCAGTGTCAGAGAATAGAGGTAGTGTAGCTGGAGATCTTCAGTGTCAGAGAATAGAGGTAGTGTAGCTGGAGATCTTCAGTGTCAGAGAATAGAGGTAGTGTAGCTGGAGATCTTCAGTGTCAGAGAATAGAGGTAGTGTGGCTGGAGATCTTCAGTGTCAGAGAATAGAGGTAGTGTGGCTGGAGATCTTCAGTGTCAGAGAATAGAGGTAGTGTAGCTGGAGATCTTCAGTGTCAGAGAATAGAGGTAGTGTGGCTGGGGATCTTCAGTGTCAGAGAATAGTGGTAGTGTGGCTGGGGATCTTCAGTGTCAGAGAATAGAGGTAGTGTGGCTGGGGATCTTCAGTGTCAGAGAGTAGAGGTAATTTGGCTGGGGATCCACCATGTCAGAGAATAGAGGTAATGTGGCTGGGGATCCACCATGTCATAGAATAGAGGTAGTGTGACTGGGGATCTTCAGTGTCAGAGAATAGAGGTAGTGTGACTGGGGATCTTCAGTGTCAGAGAATAGAGGTAGTGTGACTGGGGATCTTCAGTGTCAGAGAATAGAGGTAGTGTGACTGGGGAATCTTCAGTGTCAGAGAACATAGGTAGTGTGGCTGGGGATCTACCATGTCATAGAAGTGAGGTAGTGTGGCTGGGGATCCACCATGTCATAGAAGTGAGGTAGTGTGGCTGGGGATCTTCAGTGTCTGAGAATATAGGTAGTGTAGCTGGGGATCCACCATGTCGTAGAAATGAGGTAATGTGACTGGGGATCCATCATATCAGAAAAGTGAGATAGTGTGGCTGGGGATCTTAAGTGTCAACGAATAGAAGTAGTGTGGCTAAGGATCTTCAGTGTCAAAGACATATTAGGAGATCAAGATCACACAAAGATGTTATGTAAAAAGAAACATTTACCTTTTCTAGCCACAGTTCTGTACTGGAAGATATTTTCTCATGCAGAGTCCCACCTGCAAGTTGGAAACACATATATTTATTGAGAACACAGGATAAAGTCTCAGGGGCTCCGTCAGGGTGGCATCCAAATTTGTGCCGCTGAGTTTACAACGCTTTTGTTAATGTTTGAGGTCTGTGTGACTTAGCCTCATTCAAAACATTTAAATTACTAACTTTTGCTGCCAAGATATTTCAGCATTCTTCTGTAGAGCTACCTTTCCATAGCTTCAAATGATTTCCTTGTTTTCTTGTTTACTGATTGTCCAGTTTCACAGCCACATATTAAATCTGTTTCTATATAACAGACAAGACCACCTTTCCTTACTTAATTACAAGATGTTCTGAATTTTATAAATACAAAACTTCGCTTGTACAGATGAGTTCTTTATTTACGTGATACATCTTCGTCCCATAAACACAGATACTTGAATTGATGTAACCACCGCATAACTTTGGAAATGATGTCAACTATTGTAACACATGGGAATGGGATCAGCCATTGCATAACACAGGAACTAGATCATGTAACATGGGAAATGGATCAACATAGGAAAGGGATCAACCACTGCATAACATGGGAAAGTGATCAACCACTGTATAACATGGGAAAGGGATCAACCACTGTATTGGACAGGAAAGGGATCAACCACTGTATGAGACAGGAAAGGGATCAACCACTGTGTAACATAGGCAAGGGATCGAGCACAGTGTAACATGGGAAAGGGATCAACCACTGTATAAGACAGGAAAGGGATCGAGCACAGTGTAACATGGGAAAGGGATCAACCACTGTATACGACAGGAAAGGGATCAACCACTGTGTAACATGGGAAAGGGATCAACCATTGTGTAACATGGGAAAGGGATCAACCATTGTGTAACATGAGAAAGGGATCAACCACTGTATAGGACAGGAATGGGATCAACCACTGTGTAACATGAGAAAGGGATCAACCACTGTATAAGACAGGAAAGGGATCAATGACTGCATAAGACAGGAAAGGGATCGACCACAGTGTAACATGGGAAAGGAATCAACCACTGTGTAATATGGGAAAGGGATCAACCACTGCGTAACATGGGTAATGGATCAACCACTGTGTAACACGGGAAAGGGATCAACCACTGTGTAACATGGGTAATGGATCAACCACTGTGTGACATGGGAAAGAGATCAACTACTGTGTAACATGGGTAATGGATCAACCACTGTGTAACATGGGAAAGGGATCAACCACTGTGTAACATGGCTAATGGATCAACCACAGTGTAACATGGGAAAGGGATCAACCACTGTGTAACATGGGTAATGGATCAACCACAGTGTAACATGGAAAAGGGATAAACCACTGTGTAACATGGGTAATGGATCAACCACTGTGTAACATGGGAAAGGGATCAACCACTGTGTAACATGGGTAATGGATCAACACAGGAAAGGATTCAACCACTGTATAACATGGGAAAGGAATCAACCACTGTATAACTTGGGAAAAGGATCAACACAGGACAGGGATCAACCACTGTATAACACAGGAAATGGATCATCACAGGAAAGGAATCAATCAGTGTCCTAACTCAGAAGCTCTCAACTCCCAGTTGGTGCAGCACTATAAATTATGTTCACAATTCTCTACAACAAGCTTCTACTTTGTTATTTGTGTTCCTCTGTTTTTTTCCCCACAGCTCATTCTTGAATTTTGTGTTCCATAAAATGTCTGGCCTATAGAAGCTGGTGAGTATTAAATATGCTGAATTCATAAACAGATAAATATCTGGACACTGCCTGAAGAAGATGGCAAAATATTGCGTACATCATAAGGAAAGATAAACAGAGAAGTACTAAATAGGTAATCTTCTTCGTCTTCTTTGTTTACTGGCTGTAAGCTCTGGTGGAAGGTCCTGGTTCTTCATCTATTTGGACTTTAACTTTGTGCCAGGGCCTGAGGTTTGCATGAACATCCATTGTACTGGCATATTTGATTGCAGTTGGTTGTGTCTTGCCAATCTGGCAGATGCACTGCAAATTGGAAGGAAGCAATTTGTCAACTTCTTTGACATGTTTGTTGAGTTTCTGTGGGTCTTGTTCTTGTTTTACCCACAAGGAAGGGGAAAAGGGAAGCAGGGGGGGGGGGGGGGGGGGGGGGTGGGGGGGGGGGGGGAGGGGAGCATATAGATTGAGAAAATTATGACATCCTAGAGAAACCCTAAGACAAATGTTGTTAAAAGAGGCCAAAGATGCTGGAATGGGTTCGATCCTTAATACAGAATGGATTGCATAGGATACAATGGAATAGAAGACTAGCCTGTAAGCCCTATAGGACATATAATGGCAAAACAGGATAATGGTGATTTTTGTTGTGCTTTATTTATTTTCAGGGTGTAAGTTCTATTACAATGATATTCTTTTTGTATTGATATTAGATGTTTTGTTTCAGTGTGTGTCCTATCCAATGGCAGCATCTTTTCCTCACCTTCTGATTCACTGGAATTTGTTTACTTCACTTCCAAAGCTGCACAACAGTGAATCTGCCAAACCAGTGAAGTCCTTCTATTCTGCACACAGTCTTTGATGGGTCCCAGGTAGAGAGCTAGGAAGTCAAGATGTTGACCACATCAACCGGCGCATGCCATTTGGTCAACAAAATATAGACCTAGCCTTATATGCCCGATACGCCTCAAATTATGGAGCAGAGTCCTTTACTGTTTACCTCAATTTATTGTACACAGGCATCTGTTGATGGATGTTTATAGTTTATCAGAACCTATTTCAATTATCGTCCGTGTTTCACAGTCAAGCTTACCATTGGCATATTCCATTTCAATAAAGAGTGTGTTTTCATCGATGAAGTGGTTGTAGTAGCTGATGATGTTGGCATGGTTGAGCAGCGACAGAATATCAATCTCACTCTGAGAATCCCGCTGCTGCTTCTCATTAACTCTTGCCAGGTTGACCTCCTTCCAGACCACTAAACTGTTGTCCTGTTGAAGAAAGTGATGGTATGCAGACAGTTAAATTTGGTGAGTAAACCCTGCTTTCCTATTCTTCTCTAGTTCCTGCTCTTGGTCTTGGTGTCAGGTTTTGAAGAGGTATCCATTCTGGTGTGTGTTACATCAATGTTACATAGATGTTGGTATGTTACATAGATGTTGGTATGTTACACATAAGTTGGTATGTTACATAGATGGTGTTACATAGATATTGTTACACAGATGTTGGTATGTTACATAGATGTTAGTATGTTACACAGATGTTGGTATGCTACATAGATGTTGTTATGTTACATATAAGTTGGTATGTTACATAGATGTTGGTATGCTACATAGATGTTGTTATGTTACATATAAGTTGGTATGTTACATAGATGTTGGTGTGTTACATAGATGTTAGTATGTTACATAGATGTTGGTGTGTTACATAGATGCTGGTATGTTACATAGATGCTGGTATGATACATAGATGCTGGTATGATACATAGATGCTGGTATGTTACATAGATGCTGCTATGTTACATAGATGCTGGTATGTTACATAGATGCTGGTATGCTACATAGATGTTGGTAAGTTACATAGATGCTGGCATGTTACATAGATGCTGGTATGTTACATAGATGCTGGTATGTTACACAGATGCTGGTATGCTACATAGATGTTGGTATACGACATAGATGCTGGTATGTTACATAGATGCTGGTATGTTACATAGATGCTGGTATGTAACATAGATGCTGGTATGTTACATAGATGCTGGTATGTTACATAGATGCTGGTATGTTGCATAGATGCTGGTATGTTACATAGATGCTGGTATGTTACATAGATGCTGGTATGTTACATAGATGTTGGTATGATACATAGATGCTGGTATGATACATAGATGCTGGTATGTTACATAGATGCTGGTATGTTACATAGATGTTGGTATGTTACATAGATGCTGCTATGTTACATAGATGTTGGTATGATACATAGATGCTGGTATGATACATAGATGCTGGTATGATACATAGATGCTGGTATGTTACATAGATGTTGGTATGTTACATAGATGTTGGTATGATACATAGATGCTGGTATGATACATAGATGTTGGTATGTTACATAGATGTTGGTATGATACATAGATGCTGGTATGTTACATAGATGCTGGTATGATACATAGATGCTGGTATGTTACATAGATGCTGGTATGTTACATAGATGTTGGTATGATACATAGATGCTGGTATGTTACATAGATGCTGGTATGTTACATAGATGCTGGTATACTACATAGATCTGGTATGTTACATAGATGCTGGTATACTACATAGATGCTGGTATACTACATAGATGTTGGTATACTACATAGATGCTGGTATGCTACATAGATGCTGGTATACTACATAGATGCTGGTATGCTACATCGATGCTGGTATGTTACATAGATGCTAGTATTTACAGCCTTAGTACATGCAAAAGAGAGATCCAAGGTCTGGCCAGTTAACATTCCAATGTAAACCAAGCTGCATGGAAGAGTGGAAAATATGCATCGTGTAAAAGCTTGTGGCTTTCTCATCTGAAAACCCATGGCATGGTGAATGAAAAGAAAAAAAATGGCCTCAGAGAGTCCATATATCTACTTCTATATATCTACTGCTTGAATGGACGACCTCTAGCTCTTTGTGAACCCTGCAAAGTTTGGAAACATTACCCATGTCTAGATGCACTTTTCTCTTTTTTTTTTTTTTTTTCATACTAAATAGAGAAAATTGCCATACTTTTGGCTTTTCTTGCTGTAAGAGATGGTAAACACATGGACTGAGAGAATGAGGCCATCCAAGAAGAGAAACCCTGAGACGAATGTTGTTACCAGAGATCAAAGAAGTTATGCTGGATTCTATCTATGAAAATAAATATGCCACCCCCCCCCCCCCCCCCACACACACACAAAAAGCACAAGAAGCTCACAAAACTTAGACAGACGTGCATGGCAAATGAAATGATACTACCCCTTGAAATAGTCGATGAAGCGGTTGAAGTCCATGTGGTTGTGTGAACCGTGACCGCACAACGCTTAGCGGTACCGCAAGAGACGATAACATTATTGTCATGGAACGGAAAAGTGGCAGCTAACAAAGGTTGTCTAAGAATACTGACAAAGATGTGACTGTATCGTTTCGCCATCCACAAGGCACTTAATGCTGATTATTATATAGCAAAAAAAAAAAAAAAGTAAACACAATATTAATGTCGAATAAATAAAGGAGACCTCGGTTTTCTGATACAAGACGGCCTCGCCAAAGGCTCCACTGCCCAGAACTCTCAGGAACGTGTAAGAGACCGGGCCCGCACTGTTGGCCTGGCTACTCTCGGCAGCCATGTTGTTTGTCTGTTGTTTCTAGGGGATTGGATGAAATAGTTGTTTTCTTAAAACTTTGTGTTTGGAGTTTATTAAATTAAAATTGATGTTCACAGGCATAAATATCTAATATTAAAATAGAAGAAGCCAGATGTGTGGAAAAGGATTTAGTTTTTTTTTTTTTTCAATTACTACTGTATTACAAGAACAAAGGTCTGCACATAATTTACTTATGAGGTGGTAATAATCGTCTTCTTCTTCTCTTCCATCTTGAACTCATCGACGTGTCGGGGGAAGATGTAATGTTCGTTGATGAGCTCTGCCAAAAGCACTATTAAGACTGATGTTCATTTCTGTAAGGCTGTTCTTAATGCCATCACTCCATGTTTTCCGAGGTCTTCCACTCGCTCTATATCCGTTGTTACGTTTTAGTGTGGCTCGCTGTGTCAGATAGTACCAGGGCATTCTTGTTAGGTGTCCAGACCACTTCATTTGTTGTTCTTTGATGACCTTTATTCCTAGCATTCGTTTGATTTCGTGATTTCGTATTCTGTCTTTCCTTGAAACTCCTGCAGCTCTTCTAAGGCATTTCATCTCTGTTGTCACAATTTTACGTTCATTGGAGTATGTAAGTGTCCACTTTTGACATTGATAGCATAGTTTTGGCCAAAAGAATAGTTATGATAAGATTCACTTTAGTACTCTGAGGTATCTGCGTGTGTGTCAACAGGGGAAATAGTTGCCCAATTACTTGCAGTGTTGCCACTTTGGATCTTTTATATCCAAATTTAGATCTTTTTCATTGCATTTAGATACTGTTTTTGACGTTTAGATCGTAAATATTTTTCTAGATGAGTTGGATATTTTTAGATTTTTTTTCTTTTTTCTTTCATTGTCAATTTAATAATTACAGTGTAAAATATTTACTACAATATTTTTGTTTTGGTCTGGCACGTACATTGTGACAACTGCCATTACTTGAACTTTAAACTCTCACTGGGGTCAACGCACAAATATCTGGCAGCCCCGGTACTGATTAATGAAAACGCGCGTAAATCATACAAACTTTGTTTCAACCGTATCCTCACTGTGCTGACTTTGCGTTTCTTTTTCATGTGATTTAAAAAAATAATTGCTCACCTTCTTATGTAGCTTTCACTTTGAAAAAACCTTTCAGCATGCCAAAAGTAAAGTATGAGCACAAAATTTGGAAAGAGTGGTTGCATGATGACAAAATTAAAAAATTTGGATATGACCAAAGCTTGTTGTAAGTACTGCAAGTGTGAAATTGAAGCGAAAATACAAAACTCAAAAGAGTCATGCAGAGACTATAAAAGCATAAAACTGCAGTTTCATTTAAAGATATTACACCGCTGACATCTGTTTTCATAACTATACTGATAAATGAATCATCAAAAGTTGTAGTATCAGTCGCAATGTTTTTAATTTGTCACTGCGCAATTTCAAACTGACCATTTGATCGATTTGTAAAAAATCTTGAACTAGTTCGATTTGAAAAGTGTGATGTAGAAAGTATAGTTTAGGAACTTAAGGACCTTTTAATCAGCAAACAGTTAGGCTTGAAGAATTTGGCTGTAATTGGTACGGATAATGCCTCAGTGATGGTTGGTATAAACAATGGCATTTATGCCAAGTTGAAGGAAGCTAACCTATCGTTAATACTTATAAAATGTGTGCGTCATTCATTGCAGCTAGCATTATCACATGCTTCATCTAAATATTTACCAAGGAATTTGGAATACCTTATTGCTGAAACACTTTACTGGTTTTCCAAATCATTTGTCAGACAACAGCAATACAATACATTATATACAGCCTTGAATGATGGTTCCACACCACCGAAAATTCTGTCAGATTGCAAAACTAGATGGTTATAAATTTAACCAGCTGTTGAAAGAATTATGAAGTAATGGCTGAAGTTGAAGACACACTTTGAAATAACAAGACAAAGTGAAAAGTGCTACACAGCTGAAATACTATATGGAATGTACAGTGATGAAACAAACAAAACAGAAACTAAAGCGTTTTGGAGTGAAGTGAGACGATTTAAAGATGCCTCATCAAACAGTCCATTCTGTAAGCTCTTTAAAGTGCTATGTCTGCCATGATACTACCCCGCTCAAATGCTGACGTAGAAAGAGTTTTCAGTGCTAGGAATTATATCAAATCTAACCTAAAAAACAGGATGAAATTTGACCTCTTAAATGCAATCGTGCCATTAAAATTCAGCCTGATGAGACTAGAGAAATAAGCCTACTGTTCCACTTATAAGGAAATTTGAACAGCTAAAGCATACCAGGGTCATTTTGGATCTGAAGCTTCAACTTCATTATCCAAGCTAAGTTTATCCTGTGGATCTTGTGGGGCAGACATCAGTGAAGGTGGGGACATGATTATGTAGGGTAAGTCATAACAAAAGCTATGTAATTTTTGACTTTTTCAATTTGGATGTTTTTTCTAGACCTTTTCCACGGAGATTCGGATCTTTTTAGATATTTTTTGACACCGTTTTGGATATTTTTTGTCAAAGAAAAGTGGCAACACTGATTACTTGATTAGCTTTGGCACATCTCGAGCTAATTTCTCTATCCAGTTTTCCGTCGGATGTTCAATTCTTCAATTTGGCTCTCAGGGGCAAGGGTAGTTAGTGATAGTGCATTCTACTAAGATGGCCAAACCATTTCATCTGTTGTTCTTTAATAAATAGAATGAACTTTTTACTTCTATTCCTCTAATTTCTTCTATTTTAATGTTATAATTTTTTTTTGAAAACCGTACTGCCAGTGAATATTTGTAGCTGGGGTTTAAAATGTACTCAAAATATTTCAGGATCTTCGCCAATGCAACAGACTTTGTGCACTGCGCTGAGATTCTTCGGACTCAGGCTTGAGTTAGAAGTACAACAGAGCACTAATGGGTTACTACCCTAATGCCATGATGTTGATCACTTGTATAAACCAAATCAAACCAAGCTGGATGCTCCTGGCATTTATATTTGGATTCTCGATGGGACTACAGAGTTCGTACATTGTACTGATGTTCTCCTTGTATGTTCTCTGCGAGAAGATTAGAGTACTTATGGAGATATCCGTGTGAAACGAAAACTATCAAGAATGGGTCGCTCGTATTTACCGTGCTGACAATCTTCCCCCATCATCTCTCTCGAACACTCTAGTACTGCCGACAACGGAATCTTCTTGTAATCGCAGGGCTTTACAAGCACCGGCACTATTTTATGCATAATTGTTTTCAGTGCTGCCGTAGTGAACATACCGGCAGTGAGTACCGGCACCCTGTTGATACTATGTGGTGTGTATTGGCACCTTTGTTTATAGAAAGGTCCTGACTTTTTTCAAAAATGACTTTGGCTCCCAGGTCGACCTAGCCTTGACTGGGTACCAGGTATAGTACTGGGAAGTAAAGACGGCCGGCGTGATGTTTACATCAGTCACCGAGCGCTGATTGGTTCAGCCCTACATACCCAATACGTCTGGAGGCGTGAAAAGGGAGCCTTTACTTTAGATTATTAATTCTACGAGGTGTGGAAACACTTTACAGGAGACAGGTTTGTGAATCCTCAGAAAGTGTTGACCCAGCCAGATACACGAACATTCAAGACGTCTGTCCTCAAAAGAATGCGTTTTTATTTGCAAGGTGCTGTGTGCAATCTTCTTTGTGTAAAACGGCACATCATTAATTTTTTAACATTGTTAGTCATAATTATTCTTCGCATTCACCGACTGTACACTCCAGCGGAAAGTTCTGGTTGTTCATCCACTTTTGGACTTTAGTCTTGTTCCGATACCAAGTTTTGCGAGCACATCCATTAAAAAAAACAACATATCTGTTTTTTTTTTTTTTTTTTTTGCATACAGACTGTTGGTTCCTTTCCTCTCATGCAGATGCAGTACGACTGCGAATGAAGGTCCCAATAAGTCGACTCTTACGACTTGCTTTTGGGTAGACAGTGGGTCTATTCTTGTGTTCCCCACAATAGGGTCCCTGAACCCACGCATTTTTAACTCACCGTTGGAGTTATAAATAAATACACGTTACCATTTTCACATCAACTGTCATTTTCATATTAATAATAAAAGATGCACACAGTTCGTTTCATATGGCTTTGTGTAGAGCAAACCGAAAGTTATAATGATGCAAAGTGTAATTAATGGGAAACGTTGCATTTCCGTTTTTGAGCTAATTTGATATTTTAAGTCAGAATAGATTGTATACAATCCAAACAGTACGTAAAGTAAAGGACCCTTTTCTATACCTTTAGGCATATAGGGCTAGACCTATATTTTATAGACCAATCGGCACAAGATGGGTGATGTGGTCAGCATCACGCCAGCCGCCTTTACCTCCCAGGACTGCACCCGGTACCCACTCAAGGCTGGGTCAGCCTGGAAGCCAAGGTCATTTTTGAAATAAGTCCGGTTCCACCAGAGATGGAACCCACGACATTCCGATCCTCAGGCTGGCGCCTAGCCGCTCCACTGCGTGACTCCCAAATCCCAACTGTGAAACCTCCAAAATCTGCATGTTTCCTTGTAAAATGCCGCTTCGCGTTTTATTCTATTACTGCCGACAATGGTTTCGAATTAGGCATAGTCGGTGATAGCGGCGTCCGTGGCTTGGGTTCTACGAGTCCGACTCGTAATCTAACATACCGCGATCAAAACCCACTGCTGGCTGCATGGATTTTTATCATGGTATGGGACGTCGCAGGTCGACCAAGCCTAAAATGGGTACCAGGATGGCTGTCCTGAGGAAGTCAAGACGGCCGGCGTAATGCTGACCACATTACCCACCTAGTGCCGATGGTCTGCAAAGATATGGATGCTCTACTCATATACCCGATAGCCTAAAAGCGTGATAAGGATCTTTACTTCGTTGTTTTTGTTTTTAAATAGTCGGTGATATAAATAATATTTGGCACTCCTTTGATCCATTCCCCAAAATGGCGGCATGCCACATTCTGGCCATAAAATATCAAAAAT